GGGGGGGGGGGGGGGAAACCACCTTTTAAACCCTAACCTGGAATGGGCAAATTGCCAAAGCTGTATCCGGCAGTTCCAGCGATTACGTGAGCCCCACGACCTGTGCATTGCACGTCCCGGATTCTCCCGCCTGTCCCAGTGGTGGCACCGCTGAATGGGGCAACTCCTAGAAGGGGCGAGAAATTGCAACAATTAGACAACAATGCTTGATTAACTCTACTTTACTTGAACGAATGGTTGAGTAGCTAAGCCAGGGGTGTGTTAAACTCAACTTCATTGAGGGCCGCATCAAGGTTGTGTTCAGTGGTGACTGCTGGAGCACTGAGTACCATTCCGGTTCAGTGCTCCGGAGGGCCCACCTGCCCACCTGGGCTCCTTACCAGTATTTGAGCTCTTCGGTGCTTCCACGCACAGAGTGTACGGCACCTGTGCGACACTCCCCGGAGCAGCTGGAGCATCATGGAGACCGTCACAGGCGGTAAGTACGCATGTGCGCGCTGCCGTTGCAACAGGATCCAGAACCCACCACTGGTTGTGTTGTGTTTGACTTTGAGGGGGCCAGGCTGGGCATGGGCCAGGGATGAAATACTACCGATTCAGGCCACTTCCCCCCAACCGGTAGTAAAAAAATGCTAAAAAAAGGTTTAAAAAATCAGCTGTGCGACAATCACCTGTGCCTGACTGTGAGGTTCCTGCTTGTTGCAGGCCCATTTTGTGTGCAGTCCAGCTGCTTCTATAGTGTGTGTGAGTCAGTTGTTGAGCTTTTGTGTTATCGTTGTGTAAAGGGAGAGAGTTGGTTTTCGAGCTCTCTGTGACTCTGTGGAGTTCCTGCTGCAGTCCAGCTGCTTTTACATTGTGTGTGAGTCAGTTGTGCAGCCACGCCCACCCGGTCACATGACCGCCACACCACACCCACAGAACCAGTAGGGAAAATTTTTGAATTTCACCACTGGCGAGGGCAACTCGACGTCACTCATGTCAGGGGTTTCTGTAGTGGCCCGAGAGCTCTGCCAGTGAAAACAGTCCCCCGAGCTCCATTTTCGGCTGCAATTGCCTCTTGCAATCCTCTGCCAGCGAAAACGGAGCTCGGGAGCCCATTTTTGCCGGCAGAGCGCTGAGGCACTTGGGCTACTATAGATGTCCTCGAGCTCCATTTTTGCTGGCAGAGGCACCCCTGGGCCGATCCTTTGCTGTTTCCACGGTGGCCCTGCGGGCCAGATCTAAGTACCCAGTGGGCCAATTCTGCATCCAGAGTACTGCATCCAATTTTGGTCACCACACTATAAAAAAGATGTTGAGACTCTAGAACCGGGATTGGTGAAGCCTATGGCACGCAAGCCCTCTCTGCGGGCACACGAGCTGTCTCCCAGCTCAGCTTCACTTCACATTGAGAGACCGCCTGCTGCCAATTACCTCCCAAAGACCCATTAGATCGCACAGGGTCGGCCTCCTCCGGGTTCCGTCCACCAGCCAATGCCATCTGGCTACTACCCAGGGGAGGGCCTTCTCTGTGGCAGCTCCGGCCCTTTGGAATGAACTCCCCGCGGAGATCCGGACCCTCACCTCTCTCCAGGCCTTCCGGAACGCAGTCAAATCCTGGCTGTGCCGGCAGGCCTGGGGTTGATGAGTTCCCTCCCCTCTCGACATGTATGGCTGTATGATTCTTGTTTATTTTAATC